TCTCTGAATTTAAGGTCAACATTGGTCCCATGTTGGTGGTGCCATGATGATTGTCCTCAATGCCCTTAGAAAAGTTAAATGACGTTTCTGAATGCCCCTCCTCACACTCACAAATTCACCTGCAGCTTTATAGAAAGTGAAGATAAGAATCCAGAAGCTGTAGAAATTGGTTCCAAACCCATGAGAGCCTTGGGCTCTTAGATGCAGTGGTGAAATAAAATTCGGATATCGGTTATGCTGCCAAATGCATCAAGGTTCAGATCTCTAGTTCAGAAACTTGCCAGCTGTCTGAATTCTGCGCAAATACTTTACCCTGAACCTAGATTCCTTCCTGTCAATTTGTAATAGCATTTAACTTGTCGAGTTATTAAAAGAATTAGGTATCACAGGGCTTCTTGAACAGAGCATGCCACATAATGGATTCTCTATAAATGGTAATTGTGGTCATCATAAGACATATGACTTGGTTCACATATTATGAGAAGTCATGGATGTCCATTTTCACGAGAAAAAGTCTCCATATCAGTGAAAAATGTCCATAGGCTTAAAAAGCAAGGGTGGTTTTTCCAAGGTTTTTAAAGGAAAGACCATCTGGTTTAGCTTAGCATACTATTTGATAAGGAATGAAATTGGAAATTGAGGCTGATGGATTTTATATCTCATTCCCTAATTTGATTACTTAATTCCTTTCTTGCCCCACACAAAACCTTACATTTGTAGTAGTTTCTCTTTTAAACCATTTCACCCCACATGCACTGAAAAACACTGTTAAATGGAGTTCTAATATAATATCCTTCCCATTCGAAGTTGCCTTTGAGGCCGTGACAACCCACGGCTTTATATCATAGTCTAAGTCAATGCTGAAGACAAAGTAATCTGTTTACTAGATTAATGATCTAGGCTAGCCCAGGAAGAAGTACTAGATTGCACCATTTACCCTGTCAGGCTCTCTGCCATAGGCTTCGGGGCCCAAACACTATGATGGCTGGCAGCTTTGGTAGTGAACACAGATGGAGAATAATTGAGGTGCCCAGTTAGCACCAAACACGTGATGAAAGCCCAGAAAAGTATTACGCAGCAATGGGAAACCATGTTCTGTCTGCATACAGCTGTTATGCACATTTGTGAATGTATTTGTAGATCAGATTACTCACATTTCATCCTCAAGCCTACAGGATTGAATGTAAAAGAACTGGCATTTGCTTTGAGTTCTCAATATCTTGCCCAAGGAAATGCTGAACCTTTGGCAACAGAAATTATCTACAGACAAGGAGTTACTGACAAATGTAATGCTTTATGTATTTTTGCATACAAATATGCCTCTTAAAAAATCTCAGATAAATGGCATGGATTACTATAAGGAATTATTTTTTTCACAGTAACTATGGAAGGTACATGTCTATGGCTAATCTATCCTTACAGGTCCAGGCAGAGGGAGCTCAGGTAAAATAATAAGAGACTTATTAATATTTTTATTAATTTTTAAAATATATGTGCAGAATTGATTTATGATACAGATTCTTTAAATAGTTTGTCATTGTATTCATTTACTTACTTCTGAACTGTTCAACAAATATATATGAGTATCTACCTATTGTGTTTAAGGCAATTTGATAGGCGCTAGGGAAGGGTAAGAAAGAAGCATGATGAAGTACAAGAATCTCTCTGTGTTGTAACATGGCACTCCTCTTATTCTTTTCTAAAATCTGTAAAAGTGAGATTCATCTTCAAGGGGATGGAAAGTGTGTCCAATTCATATGCTTTTATCTAATTTAACTGAATCAGCTACTCTCCAGCATAAATGCTTTACTTTGTCACAAAATTTCATTACAGATGTGCCAAAACAATGTACAAGCAAATGGCGTTAAAGAAGTTAAGTTTTCATAATTCTGAAAGTCAACTGTGAAAATAAAAACTGCCTCTCTGGCTAATTCCCCATGCACAAACTGCTTATCCATGAAGAATGATATGAAAGGCTCTGAAATCACTCACTTGACAAAAGAAGCACAAAAAATACTGGTGAATATATTCTTACCTGCCTTATTACCACTTGTCACCTGAATTGTTCCTGCATTTCTACAGTCACTTCACTGAAAATGCAAATAAATCATCTTAGCTACAACTATCTCTTCCCTCAAAATCACAACCTATGCCAATCTTAAATCTTATATTCTTCCTTCTGTATTTGACTCCACAAGTGTTTCTCTTCAACATCTAAGGCTATTTCCCTTCCACTGTAAAAGAGGTAGAATAACTTAGTAAATTATATAAAAGTATCTACTCCCAAAAACCATAGCTAGTTTTGAAATTATACAAATGGAATTCAACAACTTGACTAAAGATGATTTCTGCTCTTTATAAAGGCATTCTTTCTAATTAAGGTTCGGGAGAGATGCAGATGGAGAAAGAAAGGAGACCGCACCTAGAAAGTCATGAGCAAAATCAACTGGAAAATCAGTGGGTGATAGATGTGGCAGCCAGATTGTCCTTTCTTCTATGTCCACACCAAAACCATTGCAGGATCAATGTCACTTTTGGCCAAAGTTGACTTGTAGTGGCAACAAAAATACATACGGAAAATTAGAAGACATCTTATGGAGGGACATTTCTTAAATTCTGTTAGAAAGCAACTCATTTCTATGCCCCATGTCTTCCTGGAATATTTTTTTACATATTAAATTATGCTTTCACCTTTCTGCCTGGTCACCCACAGACCTAAGGTCAAACTGCTAGTATGGGATTCCTTGGAGGCCCTGTTGCCACATTCAGGCTCATACACTTCTCCATAAGGTGCTGGTTTATTTTCCCAGTGAGCACTGTAGTAGCATTCACATGTCTAATTATCAAGAAGTATCCCCCTCCCCTATCAAAAACAGTAGTGTGTCACATGGATGCCTCTAAATTTTGTTGTGACAAAAAAATACTTAAGTTATGACTTACTTCTCTTCTCCTCTAATTACAATTTAAGGGCAATTTAAAACCAATTAAGTTCTTGTTTTTTTTTTTCCCCTTCAGTCTGCCATTAATAGGCCCTAAATTACAAGACTATAAGAAGCTGTGGAACATCAATCTACAGTCACAATGCTTTCAGTAGAGTTGTCATGAAATTACAGAAGGATAACGAAATGATTGGATGTAATTAGGCGGGAGGAAAATAAGACCCAACTCAAAATGTCAATCAGCAAGTAATTAATCATAACGTAGAAAAATGAAAAAAAAAATATATATATGTGACTTAGAAGTCAGATTATAAAACTGTATTTCCAAGGGGAATGAAAACATCCAAAGATGAATTAGAAAGCCTTTATTAATAATTTGATTGAGTTCATGTTTACCATAATAAATGACAAGGCTTCTGAATGTATTAAAACTGCCTGAAAGGAGAATGGTTTCCTTAAGTTTGAACTATAGTGCTTGAGCGTATTTATAAATGGCATACAGACACTTAATGCTTTATTAAATGGTTCATTATGGGAAAATAAAAACATAAATGGTCTTTATCTTTGAGGAGTGACTACAAAAATCCCATTATGTATCCTGGTAGTAGAGAATTTCCATGATATGAACTTTGGATTCTCCTTTCTGCTGAAAGTAAAACCTGCTCCAATGACAGATTCAAATCTTACTCATCTTTTAAGGAAATTATGTCCCTGAGTTAGGTGGAAAAGTAACAAATACATCTGTTTGTTACAATCACATGAGAGTAATCATTTTATATGGCATACAATTCAACGAAAGATAAAAGAAATTACGTATTTTCAGTAGAAAAAGTATTATTTAAAAGGAAGCTTTTTTTTAAAAAAAAATCAGTCCACATCATGCTTTCATCATCTGAAAGAGGAAGAACCACAAATTATTAAAGACATGCAGACATGAGGAGTTACCAACACACTCATTACACCATGGCAAAATATCTAAAATGTATTGCTTGATAAACAGCCAGTAGAATAGTTAAGAACTTGCTTTCTGGGGATAAACCTGTGCTCAAATTCCCTTGGACAAGTTACTTAACCCCTCTAAGCTTTAGGGTATACATCTTTAAAGGAAAGTTGTAATAGTATTGGCTCATGGAGCTATGAGAATTAAATAATAGAGGTAACACATGTAAAACCCTGAGCACAATGCTTAGCATATAATCTGCTCTCTTATTTGAAAACACAATTTATTCTCAGATCCTGCTAGGACAGAGACAATGGGCTATAACCTATTTGTAAAAGTAACCAAAAAAAATCAATGTCCGCTTTTATTGTATAGGTATACCGTACATTAAGAACGTTGAGAACTTATAAGACTGACGAATGAGAAGTCAGGTATGAGAATAATTACTGCTAAAAATTATTGAGTGCTTGTAATATGCCAAGTATTGTTTTAAGTTCTCACCAAAAGTCTTGAGAATGGCTTCACTGTTGCTCATGTGTCTACTCCACTAGCTGTTTGAAGATGGGGATTCTGCTTTAGCGGCAGGGCCAAACATAGTATATGGCATTCAGTTGTTGCTTAGGAGCTGTGGACTGAACATGGGAATGAATCTTCCTAGAGTGCCTAAAATCTTTAATGATTTCACACATCCTGCATGTTAAATCTAAATGCCTCCCTCTCCAGATTTTTCTTCAGCCTTATCTGCCAGAGACTCAACATGCTAACTGCATAAGACAAGTCAGCATTGCTTGATCAGATCATAATTCAGTGCCCTTTTTGCCTTTTCTGCAGCCTCAAATGTTTTTCCTTCCTATGTCTGCCAACTTTCTCTTCTTTCCAGCGTTAGTTCAAATTTTGTATTTCAGCGACAACTTTCCCGGTTCCCTCAACCAGAACCCGTATCTCCCTATTTTGTGTTTCTAGAGTCATGTACATGTCTTGTGGTTCATTGGATGATTAATTCATTCAATAATTAGATATTAAATGTAAATGATGACCACAAGGCATTTTTAGGTGCTGGACAGAAAAAAGCAAGCTCCTTTGAGGAGTTGATATTCAGAAAATTGAGCACACATATTCAGATCCAGGCAATATGACTATTTGTCCCTTGTCCTAAATTTTCCAGAATACTTTTCATTGTCATTTTGAATTATCATAACAGTCCTGAGACCTGAGGAAACTAAAAAATATTACTATTATTTTGTTGACAAGCACACTAAGGCTCAAGGACTTTGAGGATTGGTCCCGAATCACCTGATAGTAAGTTTTAAAGGCAAGAAAGTCACCCAATCTATTTATTTCATTTTGGGGGTACTTTCTTCAACACAACACTATCTTCCTAAAAAGGTAATATTGCTCTAGCAATATGATAACTCTAAGAAGTCCTACACACGTGCTTCGGGGTAGTATGAGGATAAACATGGAGAGCAAATAACATCATTCCACAATAACCTTCATGGGAAAAGGTAGCAATTAGCAATTAGCTAATTGTAAAACATTTACTGCCACATCTATTTTGTAGAAGCATTTTTGATAGAAAGAACACAGTTACTATTTGCACAAAGCTGTTGGCTTTGTAAAATAATAATATCCACTGATTAAGCCAAATTGCAAATCCTCTTAGAAACTTACTGATTGTGAATTTTGTTGTCTAATTTCCAGTACTGAAAAACACACAGATTCCTGCCATTAGTATCAGTGACACAGAGGTACACTTTCTCACCTTCGTCCTATTAAATAGTCTAGTAAGATAAGAGTTTAAATAAATGATACAGTAAAATATTAGCCTCAAGGGTCCTATAACATAAATTTTGTTGGTTCCATTTGATTTTATTGCCACATTTAAATATACCTGTGTATCATACTATTCAGCGCATTGAAATATAATGCTGCGGTAAGAAATATGACTATTCACTGAAATGTATTCAAGTTAAAAATTAAATAGATCAGAATGAACTTTTCTTGTTGACTGTATAAAATGTTTTGATGCTTATTTATTATGAATTATGTATGCATTCTCAAGAATATTCCTTGCTTAATTTGAAAAGAAAGTCAATAATCTTGTTAATTCTTCAATGAAATCTCAAGGGAAAATATGACAACTGATATTCTTATGAAAAATAAGTAGCAAATGCCCCAAGTCATCTGAATTTGTCTTGCATATGCATAACAGACTATTGCATTGCATAGTTTTCCCTACATAACACATGCCCTGCCTTTCCCCCGAGATTGAAATGACAACCTCATTTTACATTTCCCACTTGGCACATTTAGTAAAGTGGTTCATGGAGAAAAAAGCCCAGTGACATCTCAATATGGGTGTGAGGCTGCAAGTAAAAAGGAAATTAACATTTTACCAAAGAATCACTTGGAGTTTGTGAGCCTTGAACTAAGTGTTAAAACAGATTATGCTACATGAATAACTAACTTTTTTCACAGAAAGGAGAGGGAGTTATTTATTGGTACTTGAAGGCAGAGAACCCATGGCTAGAGCTATTACTGTCAAGCACTGAATCCACATTTTTTTCAATTGTATCATGTTGCATCTTTACTCAGACAAAGAGAAAATTAGGACAAAAGCATATGAGGCCCATCTGCCTGTGAGGGATATACTTTTCACTTCCGGGTGGATGGGGTAAAGATTTTGATGGCAGAGAACACAATTCCACAGTGTTTTTGGAATTCTCACACAAGCTAATGTCACTTGCTCTCAAGAAATATTTCATTTTATTAATTTGATCCCATTAGTTCTTCCCATAGCCCTAAGTACCGTAATTACTCTCTAATTCCAGTTTTTGCGACATGCCCTCATTTATGAGCTTTAGTCCCATTCATGTCCTCCAATCCCTAAAGCATCCTCTAGGCATCCTTGTAGACTTGATTATCATACATAAGGGTAAGAGTAAGTTAGAGCCATCCCAAATTGATTATAAGAAATCTGCCTTGCAGCCAGTTAGCACTGCTTCAGCAAAGCCAGTTCACACAAAGCAAATGGGAGCTCTCCTTGGTTTAGGTGGCAGCTGATCACACATAGGTGAGAAGGGAACTACCTCATCAGTGAAATCTAGGGCTTGGCAACCTTTCCAATGTGGTATGCCAAATCTTCACTTAGCCTCTCTCTTAAATTGGGGCTATGAAATTGAACCTACTTGAGAATCTCTTTACAAATCAACATGATAACATGGTGGGTGGCACCCTGGAATTGGAGACCAGCGGACACTTAGGTGAGTCACTAAGTTACTTTATCTCCCTGAGTCCTAGTTACTTTATCTAAGAAAACACCTTTTAAGAGTTAAATTAGAATTCTTAACATAATAACATCTGGAACCTCATTACTTAAAAGAAAGCAGAGCTGGTACAGTAGAATCAGAATTAGGGAGTTGGAGGCCCTCTTGTTTGGTCTCTTAGACGTACTGGTGAGGACATCCCTTCACTGACTGTGTAATTCCAAAGTTAACCATGCCTTATTCCAAAGCTAACTGCTGAGCCCAGCACTCTTCTCTCCGTGGCTGGAATCGTTGTGATCAACCGGCCAGACAAATAAACACAAGTGATACTTCTTACCCTCAGAGCAATACCTCTAGTCCTCATGTCACCATTATAACTTTGAATTCTAGAATGTTCTTCAACATTTATATCTTCACTTTAATCTTAAAGATATCAGCTGATAGGAGGAAAAGCTTTAAAGACATTCTAAGTGGGAAGGAGACCAAACAGCTGGTGTGGTAAGATTTCAATAAAGGTGAAGGGAAGGGGCCTAAAATACCAATTTTATTCATTTCTTATTTTAATCTAAAGCAGAGAGTCCTCTCCGCACCAGGCTACAACATTAGTTGTCAAACTGTGACATAACTAATTTTATGCTAAGTGATGTACTATTTTATTTTTTTAATTTTTTCAGTAGCTTGAGAAAACAAATGATACACTATTTTCTAATAGTTTACCATAGACTTTTAATCTACGTTAAATACTAGGTCAGTCTGGTGCATAATCCTGGGCTGTAAACAGAAAAAAAAAATGTTGACTGGGCACGGTGGCTCACGCCTGTAATTCTAGCACTTTGGGAGACAGAGGCAGGCGGATCACCTGATGTCGGGAAACCCCGTCTCTACTACAAAAAATTCAAAACCAGCTGGGTGTGGTGGCACATGCCTGTAACCCCAGCCCCTCGGGAGGCTGAGCCAGGAGAATTGCTTGAATTCGAGAGATGGAGGTTCCGGTGAGCCGAGATCACGCCATTGCACTCCAGCCTGGGCAACAAGAGCGAAACTTCATCTCAAAAAAAAAAAAAAAAAAAGTTT